GTTAAGACTTCTGAACCTTGAGGATTTAAAACATGGTCTGTGAGCCGAACGAGGTTATTTTTGATCTGGTACAGTTGCAGTTTCTGTGCAAAAACATGTGAAGCTAAGCGATCAATGTTTTGAAGAATAGGCTTGTGCTGACGGGTGTGGTTCACTAGGCAGAGAGCGGCCTTTTCGCGTTTCGCAGCGCGAAACACTTCCGCTGCCCGAATCTCAGGTCCACGGGTGATCATCAGATGACCCGAGGTTCCCGCAGTCAATCATCAATGAACTCGAGACTCCCGCAGCGAACAATGTTTCGCGCTGCGAAACGCGAAAAAGTCGTTTTCTCTCCTAGTGAACCACACCCATGCTAGACGCAGGCACTTGGAACACCGCAATGGTTTATAATTGTTCATATCTCGATACCTTTCGCCTCTAGTCGACCTTTTCGCGGACGGACAGACAGACGTGCAAACCCAGATACAAACAAACCGACACAGCAAACTTCTCGTTTATATAATGAAGTGATACTCTGACTATTACAGAAGCACAAAGAAGCAACTAATCATATATGCCGACAAAATATTCTACACCATTTTGGAGGGAATCGCATTTATGGAAAATTAAGCGAAGAAATTTTCTGCAGTTGGACATTACTTTCATGCGGCTACACCCAAAATATTAGGTCGGTCCACAATTTTTGAGAACCTTTGGTGTTTTTCGATTTATTACTTGTCTTATTTATCTGATGTACTTATCAAGCATAGTGTACACCATTATTATTCACAACATATCACCAATGCGAGGGTGGGTATTCAGTGCCTCTATTGTGAACTCTCACAGAGTTCTGATCGAAGAAAAATTGTAGTCCCCAATCTTCTCAACCCAATCTGACATCATCAAGTTCCTGTTGGTTTCCCATAGTTCCTTCGGATGACCATCTATAATACTCATTGGTGATGTGGACTGGGTGCAGTGTGCTAACAATCCGCGAGCCGCAGTAGATCTGCTTAAACGATTCGGGAGTTCTGACAGTAAAAACCCAACTCCCTCTGAATTCGAACTTCGTGAATCGTTGACGCAATACGAGAGGGCCTTTGTGCTGGAATCCGGCTTCAACTAATACCAGTGTCAGTGATAAGAAGAATCGTTGACAGCTTGATGGCAACGCCTTCAACTTCAAAGCAAAGGAAGACAAAATCTATTTTTTTACTGAGGTCGTTCGAGTCCACCTTGCTGAGAAAATTCCTAAAAAATTGGAGACTCATAGCGACGGTCAGTTCTCTTAGCTTCGCCTCTGTAGTACTAATCCTGCGTCAACGAACGACTATCCGCTCTCCTCTCTCAGTCACCTTTTGGAGAAGAAATCTCACTTAATCACCATAAAGTCAAAATCGACATCCAATATTTCTTCGATCAGAACTCTATGAAATTTTAACAGAGGGGACACTGAATACCCACCCTCGCATTGGTTATAAGTTGGTAATAATGGTGATGTATACTATGCTGAATAAGTACTACAGCAGAAAGAGATGAGTAATTGAATCGAAAAACACTAAAGGTTCTCAGAAATTATGGACCGACCTAATAAAACAATTATGTGGTTTTGCCAGTGAGACTCTGCTGACCGACACGAGGCACAATTTCGCAAACAGCATAAGCTTCTGGCCGACGAGACCGAATATGTTTTCCGCAAGAAGGATGAAACCCCGTCCTGAAGATTCGGTCTCGGTATCCCACTCCTTCCAAATCAGTGCATTTGAGGTGTTTCCACCCAGAAAAAAATCCAGCAATGGTGAATAAACGTCGCTCGAGCTCAACTAAAACAGAAAAGTAGGAGGCAAAGGCATTACAACAAAATTTCGACAAAAAGACTTGTAAACATGCGCAATATTAATTGAAGTATTAAGGAACCACGACTGAACCCCCAGTCAAAAATTTGAACACCTAGGGCCGCATGTTAAATGTTGGGGAGGGGATGGGGTACTCACCGGCGATGCTAAGTGGTGGGAAGGAAACGTTGGGGACCCCAACAGTTTCGTCGCAGGACCGGCCGGCCAATACTGGTCCTTTTATTTTGCAATTTTGTTTTCACCTTTTACTGTTCAGATTGTAGACTACAGACCGGCGACCCCATCCCCTCCCCAGCATTTGGCACATGGCCCCTAATCTTTTCTTAATTGCGTCAATCACCCCCAAAGAACTCTTAAGGGCCACGAGATCGCTTTGACATTCAGCGATTTTGATAAAAAGCACCAATACAAATAATTTAGTAACACAAACACTAAATAAATTACAGAACATTCTCATAAACATTTCAATAAAAGCCTTTGGAATGCCATTCAGGACGTCGTCGTGGTCCTAAAACGGAGAACCCAATAACAACGAACTTGTGGACACCTAAAACTACTACCTTGGTCGTGTAGGAGGGTATCCCAACTCAAGCAGTGATCGAACGCGTCTCCGGCTCAAACTTTTCCCAAACATCCAACATCTGCAACAATAACACAAAGAACATGTTGATACCATTGCTTTTCAATATGGTTCTTCACGTTTCATTCATCTGTTGCCTCCACACTTCCCATATGTTTCACCAATCTCACCCATATCTTTCATACTGACAAGGAATGGTCATTTGCTCGGTCCGGTCGTTTGTAATGAGGTGTAGTCCGATGCACGCGTCTTGCGACGCTGACCTCGAATCCGTTTTCGATTTCTGCCGAACGCTTCTATGAATGAAGTTACGAGGGATTCTTTTCACCGTGGCTATCTCACTGTGGCGGCCTCTACATCCCGTACCCCACTCGCTCGCATGAGAAGAGCCGGAGAGCAGCCATGGCAGTGAGCCTTGCGGTGTAGTGGATAGGGCTCTCGCTTCATATGGGTGAGGTCACATGTTCGAATCCTTGGTGATGATAAGCTTTTGCATTTTTCCAGGGCTACTCAAACGAACCCAGAAAGCGTTCGTAATTGTATTTTATTGACATGCATCCTCAATTGACACTTGTATGAAGCAAACTCTAGAATTTCCTGTTCGTGCCTCTTTCCAAAAGTTTCCTTTTTAAATGAAGAACTTCAACACACGGATGAGTTATAAATATACAAAGTTTCAATGACGTCCGCACATGTGCTAGTCCCTTACAACGTGATTAAAACAAAACAACTGTCAAGTGAGGACGCATGTCAACAAAATAAGCAATTACGAACGCTTTCTGGGTTCGTTTGAGTAGCCTTGGAAAAATGCAAAAGCTTATCATTACCAAGGATTCGAACATGTGACATCACCCACATGAAGCGAGAGCCCTATCCACTACACCACCAGGCTCGCTGATGTGTGCTGCTCTCCGGCTCTTCTTATACGAGCGAGGGGTACGGGATAGAGGCAGATAGCCACGGTGACAAGAATCCCCCCCAACCTCGTTCATAGAAGCGTTCGGCCAAAAATCGAAAACGGATTCGAGCTCAGCGTCGCAAGACGCGGTGCATCGGACTACACCTCATTACAAACGGCCGGACCGAGCAAATGACCATATCCTTGTGAGTTTTTGAGCCCCTCGATTTTATTTTTTATTTATGTTTTGGAAACGCAGACGGAGTCCGCGCGAGAGCATACAACGGAGAACAGTAGAACGACGAGATACCTGATAAGACTGCAAAAGAAACAAATCAAGAGTGTAGGCAATAAATTTTACACTACAACTATAAAATAAAACATAAGTTGAAAAATGAAAAGCAACTCCGGAAAGCCCCGTCGGACTTAATTAGAGATCAGTCTCTCGAAAGCAGGCAGTGAAAGCTTGAAAATATCACCTTTAAGCAATTTGGTCAAGTCCGCGAGCACTTTAATAAAGAAACAACTTGATCTGATAGTAGTACTGCTTATCGGAGCCCTTAGTTTACCTCCTCTGGATTCGAAGTGACGAGAGTGCCATAACCAAGTCGAAATTTTTTCCTTCCACTGCACAAACTGGCTAAACCGAGCTGCCTTCTTCAGAACCATTAGATACAAAGTGGTAGCTGAGACCCCTACAACGCATGACAAGCTTGCGGGTGAAACTGTTTTGGATACTCTGTGAGAAATCGACTTCTTTCTCTTTGTGAGGAGAGAACACGTAGTCCCACTTTTGAGAATAGGACGACAATGTTTCATATGCTCGCAGCAAGACACTACAGTTTTTAATGCGGAGAACATTAACGCGTTGACGACATCGCGCGTTTTGTGTTTTGCACCGCGTGGGACCAGAGCGACTTTGCGAGCGCAGCCGCCGCACACCAAACCCATGGATTTTCAGCTGTAAATACGTAATTCTTAGATGCGACCAAGCGTTTTCAATAACGTTTGACCTGTCTAGCTTATGGGGAGTTACAGTAATGGAAGTTCGACCGAAACGACATGTTAAGGCCATAAAAAGGCAAATTTTATCCACTTCCCTTTCAGTTGTTCTGAGGTTAATTTGGACGTGGTTGTTCCAGTAAAAGCACATATCTTCCCGTACGAATAGGTTTGTATTCGCCTCTATCATTCCTTTTTGTCAATATGTTTACGGTAATGAAAAGAAAATGAAGATCGAGCTGAACAGACATATCCGTAAGGTCTGGAAAACCTCTGCCAAACTGAGGAATATTTGGCCTTCCTGTGAGCCATGTGCTTTTTAAGTATGCTAATGTATAACCTGTAGAATGAGCACAGAGACATTAGGAATTAGTCGCACAAGCGCAAGAAGAAGGGATGACTTTAGTGGGACGCGTTACCGCGTCACAATGTCCCACGAGGTGCGCAAAGTGGGACGCGTTACCGCGTCACGCTGTCGTCAACGTGTTAAAGTGATTATAGTCTGAAGTTCGCTTCGATTGTTTTTTGAAAGTTTTTGAAATTTCAGTTAATGTAAGCTTAACATTTACATCATCTTGACCTCTCTATTTTTGCCTTACTAACCTTAATTGACCGCTAGCTCATCGTTTACATTTTACAAGGTTCTAAGGCCCCCTCTTTCGAATCCTCTTCATTGTATTGGAAGCTAGAGACGCTTGACCATTGATATCCAAATTGACATGGATTTAAGAGGCATGTGAACATCCAATAAACTACACGTGACTACAAGAAAGTCACAATGAAAAATAAATACCTCTGTGTGGGTTTGCACAAGTGACTCAAGATATTCAATAAACATCTGACGCATGTCGTGTCGCCGCTGGACTTCGAAACGTCCAATCTACAATAGGATGCCCCTTGAGTGTGATTAAGCTATGACATAAGCAATTCCTCACCTCTTCTCGAATTAATTTACTTATGTCCCCAAACTCCGTTTCTAGCTGATCCATACGTCGGACCGCCTCATCCATTTCATCTCTCAGCGCTGTTGCCCGGTCGTTTTTACCCGATAACTCTAGTCTGAAAGTGAAAAAGTGATCATTTCTTTAGTACACGATTGAATTTGCCTAAACCTAGCAGTTCTAGTAATGTTTACTGCATGCAGCAAAAAGATTACATCAAGGACCTACAGGAACCCTGGAAAGTCTGTTCATAGCTTACTGACACACATACCCGACAAAAGCTTTTTTTCTTGAAAACGGAAAACGTGGAAAACGGAGAAGCTTTCGCCTTCGCGTTTCGCTAGATTTTAAAAGACTACCATATCAGAGGTAAAGTGAAATGATGACCAAAGAAAACCCTGGTGCTCTACAGAATGTGGAAGATTTATTTATTTTATTATTTTGTATGCGCAAATGACGCGCTCATACACAAGAGGTAGATGAGGTCAGCACTTAGATGAGCACGTTTCTCGAATGATTTATGGCAGTTAGCATTGAAGTCAGCGCAAGTATTTCTATCAACCATTACCAAGTAATTGTAACAAAGGGAACGGAAAGCTGTAATAGACCATGGTGTAAAGCACCATCCTTCGAAAGCTTCGTACAGTAGCGGTCAAAAGTTTGGAAACTTTTTTATTTTTGATCTAGCGCGGTCGACACACAACGAAATTGTCCCAAATTTGGATATTCCATACAAAATCGATTTCAGAATACGATGGTAAAAACAATTTCCAAAAACCTATAATCATAGTTGAAAAATAAGATTTTTTTCAAGTAATGGCGCGTCGAAAGTTTGGAAACTTTTTGTTTCCCTTGTCAGTATGATTCCGCCTCTTCAATGTTTACGTGTTTCTGTTAATTTTAGTTAAACCAGATTAGTCCCCCGTCAACCGCCGGGACCTTCCTTTCCTGCGCAAGCTTTCTATCCTCCGCTATGGTCCCTTTCTCCTGTGACACCAACACCTGGAAGTGACGTGTATGCAACACAATGGTGTTTCATACAGTAGAAGGGACACAATCGTGATATGGCGGTAGATTTTTCGCTTCCCTTCATCCTCCCTTCCTCTCTCCACTGCCCTCCAGCTGCAACTGCAGCACGATGTGGAGATTAATGAACGGAAGTCTGCTAAGCAGGGTTTATATAGCCTAAGAGTGTTTATCACAGACTATCCTGCTAACAAACATTGATATCTAAATCCTGTAAGCTACCCGTTTGTTAGCGGTTTGTTGATCCTGAGCTTCCTTCTTACTCACTTCATTTGGCGGACGGACACACATACATACATACCAACACGCACACACACACACTCCACACACACACATACAGATACACAAACCGACACACAAAGTTAGCGCTTTATAATAGAAGGATTATTGAGCAATATGTAATTTCAAAATGAATTCTATGCAAAGAAAGCGGTTTTTCCAATTGGGGTCACTTTTTTAAACCCTACAATCGCGGAATAACGAAATAGAAAACTGATCCCTTAGTACTTCAGTCTCTACGAAGCAATATTTATCTGATGTTTCTTTAGCGTTATTAGAGTCGACGAAGCCATAAGAAAAATGATCATTTCACAAAAAGGTATCTTCACAAGAAAGTTGGCCTTCTTCAAATCGCTTCGAAGGTGGTTGGCACTCCCGCGCCCCAACATTCACCACTAAGATTGACAAAGCGTTTTTCTGGTTTTTTTCCTAATCATATGAAAGTCCAAGTGCACGCCAACATTGGCCGCGACCTGGTGAATATTGGGGATGATGTCCCAACAAGAAGCCGTTGTTGGGCTTCAAAGGCAGGATGGCCCAACTGGCTTCTGCTCTCTAACGGCTAACATGAACCGGATCCAAGAGGCTTAAACTTTTTCCTCAGCGACGAATGAGTATTTCTATCTATCCTAGAAATAATATAGTGGACCCTGGGAAGTGTTTTGTCAAATGGGAATCTCATTTTGAGTATGAGATTCCAACAGTCAGAAATAGTGGAAGTACTGTCATGGATGAACATGTGTCCGACCATTCGGCGATTCCCCAGTTCTAGGTATCCGGCGAAATGTGGGTTGGGCTAAGTACAGGTATAGTCTGTAGAGTACAATGCTTACCTCAGATAGTCAGAACTAGCCGGAGGAGATGGGTTTTCTATTACGGAAATGACCTGATGCAGGCCCACCTCCCCACTGCCGCCTTCCTCAACCCAGAAAAAGGAGCTGCTATGAAGCGACCAAGTCAAGATCTAAAGTCTAATTGAGTTCTACATCTCACGGAAAAAGTGGCATGTCGCTCTACCCACGTTCCAGTTAAGAATCCCACCAAACAATGTGCGGAAGTTTCCAAACTTTTGACGCGCCATTTCTTACAAAAATTCTTATTTTTCAAATGCGATTTCAGTTTTCAAAAAATCATGTTACCCATCGTAATCTACACTAGATTCTGAATATAATATGTGAATTCGGGGCAATTTCATTGTCTATTGGCTACGCTAGATCAAAAATAAAAAAGTTTCCAAACTTTTGACCGCTACTGTAAACAAAGAACTATTCAACTTCATCTTTAAGAAACCTGCTAATCCAATGCACCTAAGGGAAGCGATAAAACAAAGAGAAACAAAACAAACGACTTTAAATGAAAATAGTGCAATTAGATCTCGAATATCTCGCAGTTCAACCATCGTTAGGAAACGAAAGGATTCAATGCCTGCTCCACCTCTGATTATTGAACGGCTGCAATAAAGGAACTTGCTTCATCTGCTACTGTTAGTCAGTGCTCATAGCTAGCGACACAGTGGAAAAGTGGTCTGATTTAGCCTCAGGGTAGAACTAGCTCGTCTGTGATATTACAGATTCCACTACTCCACCGATTATTACGCATATAACATGTCGTTACTGCGCATCGCACGACACCACAGGATGGGAGCACTGTCTTGCAGAGATGCAAATTCAACTCTTGTTGAATTAATTCTATCACAGAATAGCTTCAGCTCGAGTGTTTACACAGAATGATTAAGTTAAGGACCCCCATCAAATCACTACTGCAATATATACTCTCATAAGTCTAGAGACGATAGAATTCGAGAACTTCTTTCAAAGGTCCATGGAGCTTTCGAAAATGATGAATGTCAGCAGATTTTATCTTTGAAACAATGAAAAATAAACACAGAAAAGAACAGTACCGCGCTTTCTGCTCTCGCTTCCTCGCAAGATTCTGCTGTGCCGTTTGCCAAGACTGCCATACTCGAACGCGCTCAGCAAACAACTCCTTCACTGAACCAACCAACCCAACGTATTCACTCAAACATTCGGAGAACCTAGAAACTAGACCTTCAAGAGGAACGCTAAATTAATATATAAGTAATTTACTCCCTAACGTTAGGGTGGCTTCGAACCTTTGGGAACACAAGCTACTGCATATAATAATGACGTCTTACCTGATCGCATCCATTTCTGATTGCTTAGTCCATAGCGCGGCGGCGTTCTCTTCAGTTTCTGTGAGATGAGAAAGTGCTCGAGCTAAGGCAGTAGACTCCTCACAAGAAGCTAACATCGAAAGACCCTAAAAAACGTGTTAGTTATGGTCTCCGACATAAACGCGTTCAGTTAGAATATGGTGTACAATACAGTAGCGAAATATATTAGTACAATATTAATATATTAGGTTGTAAGGAAAGTTCGGCCGTTCCAACAGCTCATCTTCAAGAGAACATAACTCCGCTCAAAAAGAGCATTTTTATTCAAAGTAAGCCCCATTCGAATCAACACATTTTTGCCACGTGATACAAGTTTGCTTATTCCATTATTATTATTATTATGAATCTGTCTGGCGGTCTGGTTCGAGTTCGAAGAAGGCAGTTTTTTGCGTCGTCTTGATTTTTGAATACTCTATTCTTTGAGAATTTATCCATATGTTTGAGAAAATGGAATTAAGTTTGTAGCTAGGATCGCTGGCATGAGTATGTTACGGAGAGCTTCGATCTTGCAACTGTCGAGCTTCTGGAGACGATTAGTGAAACATGCGGTGCGCGTTGCTTCGCTGCAGAAGAAGGGACCATGGCAAGTTACCGTACTGGCTGCATTGCTCATTTCGCGTATAACTTTTCATCAATTTCATTGCGGTGGGACTTGTGCTGTGTGGTTTGGACCTAGCTGAAAGAAGCGTGTAATGGATTTAGATGCTTGTGGGTGTGAGAGCCACAGAATGGTGAGCATGTTCTTCCTGACGTGTTTAATTTGGTTTGGGGAAGAAATTTTCGGAGGCTCATGCTTGAGAATCCCCACTGGGAGCTTTTTGTTGTCACTAGGTATCCATTTTTGCATACAAGTTACTGGGGGGTCGCTGAGAAACGGTTCATAGCGTTCCTTTTCCGAGGCGGGACTGACAACGGGTCAGTAGTATCAACTGAGCTGTGCGCGAGAGGTGAGTCGCGAGGCAACTATTCTCAATTTTTTTGAATATTCGAAGCTGTTTGAGGTGGCTCAGCAACACTGTTATGGGGAGAAACCGACTTGCGTGTGGCTGGTGTAAAGTTACGCCGATCTGTGTTTCATCTTGCTTCCATCAGTGTTTGCGGGATCACTAGGTGAGTCGGCAAAGCTCGCGCTTTGTCGTTCAGCGCGATCGTCTCCATTCTGTACTTTTGTGGAAACCAGCGACGTATCGCTGTGTCGATGCGGTTGGCCTTTCCCCAGGGTTCAACCATAGCGTTGTTACGCCGAGTAAACAAGGGGGGGGGCGAGGGGTAGTACCGGTTGAGTTTGGTGGAGCACGGGGCGGTTCGTACCTTAATTTTAGTCGCTCAATCGTGTGGGGAGTGAGGAGAGAAACGAGTTATATCCGTGGGGGGATAGTGGGTGTGCGAGGTAGAGCAGCGCGCGAGATAATAAATTTGCCGTTTTCAGGCCGGCGGAATATAGCCCCCTAGAAAGGAAACGTGAGATTATGGAGGAGAATTGGGCAAATTTGTGGAAATTTACTGGGAATGGCTGTGGGAAGGTATGGGCGAAGAATTTTTTACTGGTTTCAGAGGGATATATTACACCTACCCCGGCTCGAGGCGCATTTTGAGGAAAAAGGTGGGGCGGAGTTTTGGGATGAGTGGTGTGGAGTTAGTGTTAGATGAGAGGAGGTATGGTGATGCGAGCGGGAAGGGAGGGGTTGGTACAAATCCTACCTGCGGGGGGAGGGGGTCATAAAAATTTATCGAATGAAGTACAACGATTAGGGTTGAGCCCTGGCATTCGCAAGCTCCGATGTTGCACAACTGTGGTTGCCTCCGTTGTTTTCGACCAAGGCTTGACCATAAGTAAAACCGTTTGAGATTCAGTTTTATCAGTCTTTTATATAAAATATACAATTTACGAGAAAATGTTTCGATCTATTTTAAATTTGGGAGTATATCGGAGGAAGTGTTTTTAAAAAGAGAATCTTTTGGTTTACTTAGGTAGGTGCACAGAGGTCGGTTTGGGGGTCATTGAACACCGACGATATCGATTTTCTATGGCTAACGCGCGCAACGAGGCCAAATTTCGTTATAACGTACTAATAATCAATATATGACGATTTATATCTTAAATTATATTAGTTTGTGAATATGTTTATTATATAATTGGGAACAGTCAAAGAGTATACGCCGGGGGTTTCGCACCTTCGGTATTTGCGGCGCTGGCACTTTTGGTAATTGCTCAGCACTATATAGAGGACATTTTGCAGTCGGGTTGGCCATTTGTAGAGAAGAATCAGCCCTTTTCATTTTTATGCGATAGCTCGAGAGTTTTTGATGGATTTGGGTCGTTTTTAGCCTCTTTTTAAAGACGGAAATCGTGATTTGGGCTGAATGTAGGTTCTTACCCGCAGAACAAAGGAGGAGCGGTCTATGTTTCGACAGTGGCGCTGTTATGGAAGAAAGTTAATGCATTAGAACGAAGGCGCGATATGCGTTCGGCCAGGGTGTTCAGCGTGGGAGGCTCGAGGACGCCTCAATGCGGGTACAGCAGGAAGGTGAAATCTCTAGGGCGCGCGTGTTAGCAATTTTAGTGCTTTGAGGAGGTATGGGTGAAAATTGTCATCTAGGTCATCGAAGACTGATTTGCTGGTAACGTCGGATCACGACAGGAGTCAATCGTGTCGGGCACGAGGCTGAAATGCAGAGGTGTGGGTTAGCGCTGAGTTGCACGGTGGCAGCGAGTTGTGGGATGCAATACAGCAATTTACATCATTTGAAGCGAGATATTCACTGTATTCACTTCTGTGCTACTCCTGCGCAGCTCGAGAGTGGGCGTCTGGCGCTTCGCTTCTCGCCGCACGGCGTGGCTCCTCGTTGGGGTTACCATGTCTTTTCGAATCCTTTGTGACGCGGTGACTGTGCCTGACTCGACAAGCTCTCCAGGTGCACAGGAATAGATGTCGATGGATAAAATGGGTAAGTCATGATTTTGTACGCTATTATGAAAGGAGTTGCTGAAATATTGTGGAGGAAGATTAGGTCCTGTTTGAAGCACCTTGAAGCTCGGAGACTTCCGGAGGTTTTCTTCACTGGCTGCTGATAGCGAGCTAATCGCAGGATGCGGGTTCCAGTAGTCGAGTGCACAGAGGGGCGGCGGCCAAGTTTTTGCTGGAGTCAGAGTAATTATGGCATAGTAAGCTGCTGGATCGATGCTCTGATTAGAAGCAAGAGGGGTTTGGATCTTTAACGAGGTAGTTCTAGAAGCCTCTCAGCAAATCACTGATGTAAAATTCATTTAAGATAATGGCTATAAGTTCGTCTGCTTATTCTAGTGGGAACCGAGGATATATCGTCGATAAACTACAATTCTCCGCTCCTCGACACAATTCCTGGAGGAGAAATTGTTTTGAGAATAGGAATACGTCGAAATCGCCTTCCGCCCGCTTTAAGCCTCCGATTATTGAAATTTCTATCAGAATGGGAAACTTTTGAATAGTGGACAATTTCTAAGACCAACACACCAACTATTGAAAAGGAAAACTGAACCTCTATCAAACACCAATGCAACGCAACAAAAAATCACCCCACAATTACATATATACCATTTCCACTCCAAAGTGGACACTATTCAAATAACTCGGGACATTTTTCATTTCGACCCGGCTTTTTTCAGTGGACCATGGACATTTTTCATTTCGACCCGGCTTTTTTCAATGGTCCGTGGACATTTTTCATTTCGACCCGGCTTTTTTTCAACTGATTAGGACACTTTTCAAAGCATCGTGGCGATTTTCCAAGTCAAACTGGACACGTCTTCGAAAAAGACGAAGTATATTTTCCGATAATATTTACTTAAAAACTGGCGGATGTGCTTGTGTATCCTTGAACAAAAATTGAAAAACCATGTAATGAAAGGCCAACTAGTTTCGTGTAATTTGTGTCAGCAGCCCTTTTTATCCAGCAAATTCTCAAGGAGATCATCTTCCCGACTCTTTCACTACCTTTGCTATACGACTTCTTGCACTTTCCGCACTTTCTGCTTTGTGTCTCCAATCACTACGCATACACTGGCCAACGAAAACGCCAAAAGTGGTCAGGAGGTAGGCGTGCGAAGTCAATGGATACAGACCAGCTCCTCGGTGAGATAAAGCGGAAAAGAGCAGAAACTCGGTTGACTGGAGTAAGCGGTCCTTTTCAATAAAATCGATTTTCTTGAAACGCTTTCGCTCCGTGTCTGTGACAAGAAAGAGAAAGGAAGAAGAAGAAAGAAAGTGTAAGGCGTAAAGTATAGATGACGGAGCAGAATTGTGTGAGCCCTTTGACAACTAAAGAAGTTAGTTTGTGTTCTTTGTGTTAGCGTAGGTTACGTTACGTCCATGCGTTAAAATATACTACTTTGTTGGCTGAGAGGAATATTCTGTCTCGAGAACAATATTCTGATGATTGAGAAGGATTTACATTTGGGAATGAAGGAGGCCATACTTTATCTGTGGGGTGTCCAGCATGATATGAAAAGGATCCATTTTGAACTGAACGTTGTCCACGGTCATTTGAAAAAAATCCGAGTCGAATTGAAAATTGTCCTGAGCTATTTGAAAAATCTCCGGGTCGAATTGAAAATTGTCCACGATTTTTTGAAAAACAGCAACTTTGATTTGAACGATGTCAATTTTCAAGTGGAAATGGTATATAAGAGGGAATAAATGATCACAATATCGTGCAGTATATACCAATAAAAGCAGCAAAAACCTTGCTCATGGACTCTTGTGCGACTCCCAGCTCCTTGCGAGTGGCTGTGAGAGATTCCGATAAATGTAGTAGCCTTCTCAATGACTCATCCAGTTCATCTACATGTGACTGAGTTTGCTCAAACCAGCGATCTCCCTCTTCCATGTGGAAGGCCATCTTGGAGAACACCTGAAAATACTCATTCACAATAATGAACTATGTCTCCAAGGAAACAAAAAAAAATTTCTGAACTGCGTCTGAGTCAGTAAAAAAGCTTCTGATAGTCGTGGAATTTCCAAGATGTTCTGCAACTCAGCAGACGACCTCGCCTATTCGACAAGTTAGCCAACTCGTCTGCTTGTTGCTTGCCAACTCGTCTCCATTTTCTTCAAAAACCTATTTCTAAGCCTCTTCCTTCATGACTATCGATTAGAATCTTCCACGCACCAAATATATGGAGGACCAAGAAGATAGTTGAGGGCACGCTCTCACAATCCATGGTGCTCCGGTAGTTATCTCTACTCAGGGTTCTCTCCTTTTATTTTAAGATGATCCACACTCCAACCACCCCATGACTGGCAATCTCTATGCTCTATCCGGCGCCATTGGAAAGGAATCAGAACAAAGGGAGCGCTTTTGGTGTGAAAAGATGGGATATTGAGACAACTCGATAAGGTCGCTTGGACGAAAATATGCAGTTTGTACCTCACACGCTCTGAGCCCGTATCAGCTCAAAACCCGATCTGACATCGTCATGTTCTTGTTGCTTTCCCATAGTTTCTCCGAATGGCCATGCAGCATGCTCACCGGCGTGCACTGATTGTAGTGTGCTAACAAATCCACAAGCAGCTTAGCTCAAAAGTTTCGGCAATTCTGACAGCAAAAGCCCCACTCCTTTTGAATTCTATCCTCCCTTTGAGTTGGTGGAGGAGTACGCGAGAGGCTTTGCACTGAGAGCCGACAGCAACTAATACCAGTGTCAGGATGAAGATAATCGACGACAGCTCGATGGTGAGGACTTCATTGAAACAGAGTAAGACAAAACCCATTTTTTGAGGTCGTTCTACTCCACCTTACGAAAAAAATATAAACAATTGGTGACTCTCGGGAGGTCAGTTCTTTAAGCTCCACTTTGTAGCCCTAATCTCATGCCAACAAACGAGCATTGGCTTCCCTCTCTAGTTCTTTCCAGAGTCAACCCTGCGTTGCGCAGTTCTCAGCGGCCACGTTGCGCAGGCCCGATTGGACACCTCTCGCGCGAACATTCACACTCGCATGCTCGAGCCGTCTGTGTCTCCGCTCACACAGCGTGCATTGAGGATCTCTCGACGTGCCGTTGCGAACTGCGCAACGCAGGGTTGACTCTGGTTCTTTCCTGAAGAAGAAATCTCACTTGAATCACCACAATGTCAAAATCAACGTCCAATTTTCTTCGATCAGAACTCGATGAAATTCTTAAATAGAGACATTGAACACCTACCCTCGCGTTGGCAGCATGTTGGCAGTAATGGTGACGTTTTATATGTTGGATAAGTACATCAGAGTAATCAAATAAGTAACCGAATCGAAAAACATCCAAAGTGTCTCAGAAATTGTAGAACAGCCTAACAAAAAATATGACTGAAAGCGCTCGCGTACGTCTTTTGAGCTTGAAACGCTTCAAGGCTCACAAATTACTGCAACAGTCCATTACCTTGACCTAAAGCTACAGTCTCGGCATGGTCCATACCTTCGACTCTAATCGTGTGGAAATGATGCGCTAGCCCTAGTCAAGAACATAAGTGTCACTGAACAAAGAAATACATTGAAAAACAGCTAAAAGGGAATTGAACGCTTCGGTTGCGCCCAATATTCGGTATCACCAACTTACTATCCTCAGAGATCGCGTGCTTGGCTGGCGGGTACCTAGATTGCGTGCAAAACGTCCCGCGTTAAAAATTAATGCTGCCTCTTTTGACCGGTTCTACTTGCTTGAGTCATTTAAATATCGTGTTTCTTTCTTTGTGCTGACGTCTTTGTTTGTGTAGGTGCATACGCTACTGCAGGCACAGGCCAGCAATAAATGACGGCAGAGCAAGCTAATTCAGACAGCTCGTCAGGCCGTCTTCCTTCATCCGAAAAGGAAACAAAGGCACTCCTTATTCAGGAGTTTGATTGGCGATTTTCTTTGCTTTTCATCCATTTGCATCAGCTCAGCAAACATAATTCAATATTGACCGTTTTTACCCCGCGAATTCGATCAGGAGATGTAGCTTGGAAACATATGCCCAGTTTGGTGTGCTCAAAGAAATTCTTTACTTGACACAACGCTCCTGGACACAAGATTTACTAATCAGCGACGCCCACCCCTTCCAAATGCTCTGCCTTCTGAGAACTGCCCATATCCTTCAAATGCCATCGTCAAACCATTCAAAAATGATCTGCGGCACCCACTCCACACGACCTCTCGCCCGTAAACTTCACAGTGCTCGCCGCAACCCTGTATAACAAAGCTCTGAATCAACAAAGTATAACGAACTTCTCCGACACTCTTGAATATTCGTTTTACTCCTGCCCCAGACAATGTCGAGGTTTGGCTTGCACGTGGTAGTTCAGCCTAAATTTTCAAAAGATAAAATGAATAAAACCCAAGAAGCTAGGATACGGAATGGAACACACTTCCATTGTCAAAAAATCGCGAACATCACAATCAATACGAAGCCTTGGATGTTGAATCACACGTTTGATGAAACGTTCCAGCTGCCTCGCTCGACGAACGGCTACTTCGCGTGATGTTGCCGGATCTGACGTTGCCTGCAGGCATTCTCACAACAGTGATTAGAAGGGTGAACGATTTAGGTGATTCTTGTATGAAGACAACAAAAAAAGTACAAAAAGAGTTCTAGGGTAAAAAGAAATGAACCTTTGTTTTAGTCATCGCGGCGATACTCTTCTCTGGTGCTGCTGGAACTATGACACCCTTGGAAATGTATTTCTCAAAGAGTTTGTCGTGAAGTCCCAAAAAGTCGGAGAAACGTCTCCACACTTCGTACGTTTTATCAGTTATACCTGGCACATTTTCAGACTGAAAAAGGATATATTTACGCACAAAAGAGGAAATGAATTGTATAGGAAAGAAAGTGGTAACAATTGAAAAAGTTGAGACTTGGGAAGTTTCGTGGAAAAAGTCGGATGAAGGCACAGCGTTGAAAACGTTACACGAATTTTGGATTAAAGAACAACTCAAAAGGACGATACGATTATAAGCATATTGGCTTCAAAAAACACGAACCTAAAAAATGTGATAGATGAAAAAGGTAGAAAATTAGAACGAACCTTCGTTATAAGTTTGTAGACAATGTATGCATTCATCCCATCGCCCTTTTTCTCAAAATCTGTGATATGAACTTCGAGAACGAAATTGCTGTTCTGTGCGGGCTCTTCGGTAGGGGGAGACGGAGCCGAGCATGAGCTAATTCTGTGAAAATTCATAATGTTGCTTCGAAATAGAGCCATACTTGCAGAAAAAAAATAACAGAAAGCGTAGCAATAGATAATGAAAATGCTACCGACGTGAGTAACACGTAATTAGTTTCAGCAAATAAGCTGCCTGCCGTAGATATCGGAGTGTTATAGTGCTCGTGTATGAATAGCGTGGCACCATCTCTCACTAAAGTCCGGTGCTCCAATTCCAAAAATTTTCTACCCCTCTCCTGAGGAAGATTTCAACACGGCCATCCCCCAACACCGCTATCAGCATCAGGGGATTCCCCCAAAACGCTTCCCATCCTCGACCACTACCCTCATCATGATGGTTGTTTCTACAGTATTTGATTCTCTGACCAGTGGGCATGTTTCAATTTGGTCCACTTTTCCTTCAAAACTGCTGTTGATAATCGGGGAGTTGGAACTGGGGAAAGGTTATACATAGCTTCAGAAACGGCATAAGTTCCAATTTCTCTATTTCGTGCTTTTCAAGAAGATTTCGCCATTTGGTCACCACTATCCCCTAAAAAACCCTATTCCTTGCAAGGAAGGAACTAAAATACGTTCCCCGCTGAGAACTGCGTAAAGCATGGTTCACATCGTTCACAATGCTCGTTAGAACTCTAAAGAGCCCTTAGACCACAGATTACCGAACAATTGTTGAGTTGCTTCTGCTGGCGAGTGGCAAGTGGCACAGCTCACCACACGGGCCGGAGATCAGATCCTGGATCAAGCGCCATCCCGGCCAACCAAGCCTTCCATCCGGCGTCGGCTAATTGGTACCAGACTTTTCAGGGAGGTGAGAACAGTGACTTGTACTTCGGCTAGTCCATGCAAGCCACTGCATAGGCCAAATCGCAGTCAATGCCACTACGAATGTATTCCAAGTGAGATTAGTCGAAAGAAAGCTCTAGAGCGAGTGAGAACCAGGGTCAACCCTGCGCTGTTACGAGTAACAACGGGGGGGGGGTCGTACTCAGTTGAGCTTGGAGGGAGGGGGGTCGTACCCTCTCGGTGGCCGACATTGGGATTCTTGGTAATATCGGATAATAGCCAGCACGTTACGTTTTCGTAAGATGACTGATACTAGAACATCTATAAACCACGATTCCCTCTAAATGAGCTTTCAAATGAATCAGCGAATTAGAAGGACGCCCGAAGCGCGGCGCGCACCAAGGCAAGGGATGTAGTGCAAGCGCATGCTCGGAGCTTTAGCACATCCCGAACTAAACATAAAATTGGTCTTCCAAGAAGTTACGGGCAGTGAAACCTAAGAAAACTCGCGTTTTCGAGAAAATGGCTTGAAGAATACCCCTCAAAATAAAACGTAACAACGGGCTAATTTTTGAACTGCTGATCTTTCAGAAACGCTTGGGTGCTCGTTAGAAAGCTTGAAATCTGTGGTTTATTATACCGTGTTCAGCTTCCCAAATGAATGATTTTGAAGGAAGTTATGATCGTTCGAAGGTCAAAAAGTCGCGGTTCCACAAAAATAGTAACGCAAACCCCCAAGAAAGTAACAACGGGACTAATTTTTGAAATGCTGATCTTTCAGAAACGCTTGGGTACTCGTTAGAAAGCTTGAAATCTGTGGTTTATTAAACCGTGTTCAGCTTCCCAAATGAATGATTTTGAAGGAAGTTATGATCGTTGAGGTCAAAAAGTCGCCTTTTGCACACAGAAAAAAGTAACAAGGTACAAGAATTTTATAAATGTTAACTTCCGGAAGAATTTTTACCTATGTTGGAGAGAGAATGTGAATTTTCCAAATCAATCACTTCGGCGCAAAGCTCGAATAGAAGGAAGTTTATAGCCTTAGAAGAGGGTGTAAAAATCGTGTTGCATTGAAGAACGTGAAGCGATCTCACTATTCAATTGAAGCGAATTTTCTGTTGATTCTTATAAGTTTTTATCAGGAATGTTGTCAATATTCACGCGTCAATGCGTAGCAGGGCTGGGTATGCG